GGTGGGGGGGTCATATTTAAAAACTCGTTGGGACAGTTCTGGACAAGTGAAAGGGAATAGAGTACGTGCATTTGAAATTCGCTCTCAAAGTCGTTTACACAAAGTGTTAATTATACATTAAGGGGAACTCATCCGTGAAATTACTTTCTCTGATCTTTACAAGTAATGATGAGAGTCATGGGAGGTACCCCGGGTATCCCGCGTCAGCACTTACGTTGATGGCAACTGACCAGGAAATGCCATGACTTAAACATGAAGATATGTGGATTTGTTGGAGGGGGGGGGGGATAAAAGGTCATTAAAGGCTGCTGCCCATGGTCCACGTTTGCCTCAAAAGATTACACAAATGACAACTGCTCAGCAAAAAGTACACACAGTTAGTCCATTTTCCAGATTAAAACAAACTTAAGCTTCAGGGGTAATGATACTCTTCAAGGACGATATAAATATTGCATCCGTACAGAAAAGTTGTCAGTTTTATACGACAGTGTTCTTCAGCTCGTGACTCCGACTTTTTAATTTGCTCCAGAGAGGCGGAAGAATATTTACATTTCGCAACGTTGTTGCAGAATTTCGAGATAGTTTGATGCTTTTACTTTTATGTATGTTTCTAATAAATTAGTAATATGTCAGTTTATCAATTCCTATTTGTTTTTCTTGCTAGGTTCTTATAAACTATTTCGTCTTAAGTCTACGTGTCCACCAAATTAAGATCATTCCCAGGCCATGCTAATGTACGACGTTTTTGCATGGTGTAGAACCAACTCAAGACGATCCACGTCCACCACGTCAGGCCAGCTAGGCCTAACCTATTTTACTTTAGTCTATTTGCATATGAGCCTAGCCTGCAACTGACGAAAAATGCCAGTAGACTTGCCCACTAAGTGTCCGTTTTGAGTGGGGCATCTCCTTGTTCTCATTTCATCAATTTCAGGCTGTTCACATAAGTCTGCAATCATCTGTTGGCTTTTGCGTATCCAAAGTAGCTGGCCAGGCACCTGCGGGTTTCGCTAGGAGCAACTTTTTAGTTAATCTCTTATAAACAGTGCCCGCCGCAGGCTAAGGTCCTTTGGATTTATGTAATTTGACTTAGTGCATGGTGAGAGGCTACTAACAAGGCGGCATATCGATTCTTAGTGACAAGACAAACCCCCTGACTCTTTCGAAGAACAACATACAATATCCCTAAATTTCGTTCGCCCAATCGTATTTATGGCATAAATAAATGTTTGTCCTAGGTCCTATCCACAACGCACCAACACACAGTGTCTGTCAGATGCTACGATGACGTCAAAACCCAAGCAGTCGGTGGTTCTGTTATACCAACATGTGTCACTGATATTTTAGGGGAAGGTTTGGATCCCTTGTTTATCCTCTTTTGCTTGCCAACCAAGACACTATCTTTAATGCATATACAACGTAACACCAATACAGAAGTCAGTCCCGTATATATATAT